AGCCCTAAACACTAAGCCTTGCTGCCTGACGATCGACATCTTCGACACGATTGTTTTCGGGCGCAGCATGCTAAAACCCTAAACCCTAAACCCAAAACCCAAAACCCCTAAACCCAAAACCCAAAACCCCTAAAACCCAAAGACCCCTAAGCTCCTGGCTTTTCCTTGGCATCGATCTGGGCCAAGGGTTTCGGATTTTTAGGAGCTTAGGATTCCGGAATTCCTGGTGCTTCGGGGTTCAGGCTTTCGGGGGTTAGGGTTTAGGGATTTTTTTTAGGGTTTAGGGTTGAGGGTTTAGGGATTTTTTGTAAGGTTTAGGGTTGAGGGTTTAGGGATTTTTAGGGTTTAGGGTTGAGGGTTTAGGGATTTTTTGTAGGGTTTAGGCATGTCTTTTAGGGTTTAGGGTTTATACACCTAGGGCTTAGGGATTAATAAGGGTTTGGGCTTTCGGGAACTAGGGCCATGTCGGGTTCCAAGTAGAACTAGGTCTGGGCATGCGCCATGTTGCGACCCCTAAAATGATGGAACCGTCCCTTACCCCCACATCCCTTCACCTCTTAGAATATATTATGATACTATACTATACTATACTATACTATACTATACTATACTATTACTATACTATGCTATATCATACTACTATAAATATGATCATACTGTCTAATCCCCTGCGCCCACCACGCCCTTGGCGCCTGCTTCTTGTGACGGCCAAATTCCTCCTGCACCCACGGCATGCTGCACAAAAGAGAGTTTAGGGTTTAGGGTTTAGGATTTCGGGTTTGGGGCTTAGGATGACCTCGGCCCCTGCACCTGCAGATGTGCGAAGTAGCACGCATTGCAGCCTTCCTCTCTGAGCCTGGTATACAGCGCAGGCTAGAGGACAACATGAATGTCAGGGTAGCTGTTCAGTATTGGCTCAGCTGCCATTTTCGTATAACGTCGTCCCGTCACAAGAGCATCACCCTGGCGTCTGGTGAGCCTTTATGTATCGTCTCCAAGACAGGGTCTGCGCCGATACATGCAGGTGCTTGCGCGTTCTCGAAGACCAAGAAGGCAGCTGAGTACGGCATGAGTGTCACGGAGGTTCCGCCCCCTTCCTTGGGGACAAAGGCAGGGACCGTGCCATCCTCGTGCGCTTTCATCACCTTCCCGTTCACGGCGATGTCTGTAGTCGTCAAGTTGACGCCGGCTGATGGCGGCATCCTGGGTTTGTCTTGCTAAGGAAATTCGCTCCAATTTCCACAATCAAGAAGGCCTACTTGTTACGACACATCCCAATTATGGTAACTGTGGTTTAGGTAAGACTTAAGATGAACATTCTCCGCATGAGCCCAGCATCGTCAGGTGGTATTCTGCCCAAGACTTCAGAGGTGCCGCTGCCCAGCTCATGGAGGACAGAAGCACCTTGACCGTGCTCGGCTTCGGCGAAACATTCAAAACCATCAGAGTTAGGGCACCAGCAAGAGTCGGGTGGCAGTGCGCATAGCTCCTCACGTAGCCACCCAGTTCCCCGGCATCTAGCACTCTGACACCCATGAAACGCTTGTATGCCAAGTATGCCCAGTATGACGGGTTCGGCGTCAACCCCTCATCTGCAGCGGAGATGACCGAATACCCTCCGCTGCCGAACAACCCCTGCCGCACCACGCCGGTGTATCCCAGCCTCGACAGCGTGGCCACTTGGTCCAGGTCAGTGAAAATGGCTGCGAAACGGTCCGAGGCATGGGGAACACCGCCACCCCAGGCGCTGGCGCTCTCCCCGACCCAGAGCATGCTTCGCGGAGTGTACTTGTCTCGCATTGCCACTATCAAGTTTGCCAATGACTGGAGGGAGTCCAATGTCCGTGGGTCGACAAACTTAGATACTGGGGACTGGTTGTCAAAGTAGTAGTGGTGCCAGGTCAGAACGTCTGGCTCCCATCTGGCAGCTGCTGCAGCGGCTGTGAAGTTCTCCAGATAATCACAGCAGTGAGCTGCATCAGGTCCTATCACCAGGGGTAGATGGTCGCTCCCAACTCCTGCTGAAGCATATGTGTACTGGAGCAGCTGAGACAGCATGAGGTCATCGTGCACGTGTTCCTTCACGGACACTGAGCACTTAGGGTTGCTGGGATCGGGGCAATGCGGATCTGGCTCATTTCCCAGCTCGTATCCAAAAGGCCGGTCGTGCTCCAGGTGATACTGCAGTACCTCTGGGTTCTTCGTAAGGATCTTTCCGCTACCATGTCTATCGTGAAGCATCTGCAAGTATTGTTCTGGCGACTTCGGCTCAGATTCTGAAATCCTCAAACCCCTAAAACACCGTCTTCAAACCTAGTACAGCGTTTGTGCTGGCAGCTGAGTTTGGGATCCTTAAACCCTGAAACTCTAAACCCTAAACCCAAACTCTTAGTTAATCCCTAAACCCTATGCTCCTAAACCCTAAACTCCCTAAAACCCTGAACCCTAAAGCCCTAAACCCTAGACTTTAAACCATAAACTCTGAGGCTCTAAACCCTACTCCCCTAACCCCCTAAACTCCTAAACCCTAAACCCGAAACCCCTAAATCCTAAACTCCCAAACCCCTAAACTCCTAAACCCCCCTAAACTCTAAACCCTAAACCCTAAACTCCTAAACCCTGAACCCTAAACCAAAACCCTAAACTCCTAAACTTCTAAACTCCCTCAATCCCTAAACCCTAAACCCCTAAACCCCCAAACTCTAAACCCTAAACTAAGTGAGGGGTCGCATCCGTCGAGCGACAGACCCCGAACGCTTGGTCGAGGGCCTTACAGCCCGAGCACCCATGCGAAAAGAGAGACGGAAAGGTGCGGGTAAAGCCTCACCGCCTGTCCTGGACAGGCCAACGGTTGTTGGCCTTGCTTACGACAACGTCCGTCCTCGGAAGAAGGATGGCCGTACCCAGACCACCTTTAGCATCATTAAAGTATAACCCCAAACCGTGAGCCATTTGCTCTGGGCGTCGTTCAGGGTCTGCGGGTCGTTTTGGGGGGTTCAGGGTCTGCCCCCGCGCCCACGGGCCTTGCCTCTCATGGCGTTTTTTCGGCATTTTTGCTGAACAGGCTGCCATGCCGCAGGCCCGGAAAGGGCCGACGCCACTTCTAGCCACAGCCTCAGCCAAACCCGAACCTTGTCTTCACGATTTGGGACAGCCCCGCAACTGCGACTTGGTCCCAGCTGCCCCCCAACCCTTCACGACTTGGGACGGTCCAAAAACGGGCCAGGATTGGGAGTTTTCCGAGTTAGGACGGCCCTCCAATTTGATAGCCCCCCAAGATGGGCCACAAGCCTAGTTTAAAACAAACTTTTTACAACAAGAATTTGCCATGACAAAATCCGACTCTGTGCTATGACTTGGGACGGGCCGAACAGGCCCTGCCATGCCGAAGGCCCGAAAAGGGCCGAGGCTACTCCCAGCTGCAGCCGCACCCAAACCCGAACCTACTTGAATAGTGGATAATTTCCGACGGGCGTAGAATCAAGAAAAATAAGAAACTCTAATATCTACCAAGAATAAAAATAATGCAGAAGAACATACGCTAAACAAACCCTAAACCCTAATAGAGTATAGTTCGGGTGGCCGGGGTGGGTTTACGAGCAACACGAGCGCGCGGCCCGGGGTGCTTCAC